CTGATGCCAGGGCCTTAAGTGGAGAGCAAATGTCTTGAGAACGATGAGGGCAATGAATGTACAAATGTGCTTTACACAATTGAGGTATGTATGGATTGTGATAAGAGTTGTATGAGCCCCTAGTGACAAAAAGAGAGAAGAGAAGAGAAGACTACCAGTCCAAAGTTAGGATGCTGGCTCTCATGTCCGAGGAGCAGGTTCTACCTGTCAGGGACAGCAGGAGGGAGCCCTTAGCTCAGCCTCTCTACCGTTTATTTTATAGTGGACTCCTTGGTGATAAGGCATCTATATTTCCCTCATTCTTAATTCTTCTGAATCAATACTGGTGTTTGTATCACTTGAAAGTGATTGGATGTAGGACACACCCTGCCTTGATGGGGTTTTATTAACCTCACATAGAAAGGCCTGTTCCCCAGGGATTCTATTCAGAGTTCTAAGGGTCAGGGCTCTAGCACATATTTTAACACAATTTAACACATATTCTGACACAATCCGTAAAAGCAAGGAAAAGAAGGAAAGGAAATTAAATAGTATAAATATTGAATTGAGAGTAACTAATATTGAAAGCATCGTTCCTGATTTGATAACCTTGGACCATCAAGAAATATATCACCAAGAACATCATTCCTTGTCGTTGCTTCTTTGTTTTGTGGTGTCACTGTTTGGCAACCCTATAAAAATACATAAGCCTTCTTTATATTCAGTAGGATTATTGACAGTAGTTAGCCTTGTTTCTGTCATTTTGCAATTTTTTCCTCTACTTGTCTAATCTGTTCTTGGTTTAAACACACTTAAGTATTACCCAAATAATAAAGTGGTAGATAGATGATATAAAAAGCCTCCCTATGTAAGCACACAGAATACGAAGTTTGAAAGCTGCAAAGAGGCTTCATAAAAGTTCATGGACGCATCTTTCCAGCATCGGATACTGTTGTTGTTGTCAGGTACCAGTGAGTGGGTGATGTCGCAAAGCGACTCTGTGTGCAACTGAATGCCACACTTCCCATTCCTGCCCCATCTTCCTCATTGTCCTTTCATTTTACCTCGTTCTCGCACCTCTCTGACAGTTCCTCTGGTGGGGGGTCTTCCTCTTTTACATTGGTGTTCTGTTACTAAGCATGAGGCCCTTTTTCCAGGCTCTGGTCTCTTCTGATAACATACCCAAAGTATGGGAGATGAACGCGTGCCGTCCTTGTTTTAATGAACATTCTAGCGGTGCTTCTTATTAGACGTGTTGTTGTTATTGTTCTGTCTGGAAGTCATTGTGAGCCGTGCCTCATCAGTTCATGAGGGCCCTGAAAACCTTGCTTCATCCACGTCATTAAGGCGGACTACTCCTCTTCAAGCGTCTTCTAACCTACGGGGCTCATCTTTCAGCACTGTATTAGACAATGCCCCACTGTTGTTCATAGCATTTTTAGTGGCGGATCTCTTAGAACTGGGTCACCTATTTCTTCTTTCTAGTCTGTTCCTAGTCTGGGCGAACCTGCTGGCATTTGGAATACTGGTGGCCTGTCTTCCAGCATCACGGCAGCACACAAGCCACTACAGTAGGGCAGACTGACAAACAAGTGGTGGAACGCTGGATAATAATCTCTCAGTCTTTTAAAATCTGATGGACAAAATATGGCTTTAAAAATTTTTTTTAAAGAATAATTTCCATTTTCTTTCAGGTTTGTTTTTCTTCAGCTTCTAATTTTTGCCTAGGCTTTGGAGGTGGTCATGGGGCAGCACCTGCAAGTCTCTATCAGGGTGGGGGTGTTTGGTCCTTCTGGGCATCACATGACTAGTGCCTGTAATGTGCCCATCTTGCTGTGAATGGCCCAGCTCACACTAGGGTAGCTTCATGTACAGCTTGGGATGCATGTACACGTTGAAGACACTTCCTTTGGAAATGTCTGACGGCTGTGACCTCTATTGTGTTTCTCATTCTTGTGAATGGCCTTGTCTCTGGGCACGCAGCGGGCGCAGTTGGTGCAGCGCATGGGCTGCGCTTGGCCGTGGCCTTTCTTAGCATGACTGTTGTTCCGCCTTTTCTTTGTCATCTCGGAAGCAAGGACGCAGGAGGAAAGCTGACATGTTTTTACCCATCAGATTTCTAAAAGTAAAAATTGCAATTATCCAATGTAGTAAAAATTGGAGGACATAGGCACTTTCCTTCACTGTTGACAAAAGTATAAACTAACGTAGCGTTTCAAGAGGGCAGCTTAGTAATGGCAATATTTTTGGCCCATAGTTTTAGAAATTTTCCTTAGAGAAACACAATAATATGCATGGTTAAGAATATCGCTGGAGAACTATTAGAAAAGTAAAAGATTGAAAACTAAATATTCACTGGGGAGGCTTCAGTGATATTGGATACTACAAGTATATGAAGAAGTGCTGATGCATTTTAATTATGTTAGTTGCCGAAGAATACTGAAAGTACCGTGGACTGCCAGAAGATCTAATAAATCTGTCTTGGAAAAAATATAGCCCGAATGCTCCTTAAAAGCACGATGGAGAGCATTTGTCTCCTGTCATTTGGACATGCTGTTCAGGAGAGACCCAGTCCCTGGAGAAGGACATCATGCTTGGTCAAGGAAGGTCAGGGAAAAAGAACTGACCCGATGGATGGACACAGTGGCTACACCAGTGGACCCAAACGGGACCCTTGTGAGGAGGACACAGGCCCAGGCAGGGTTTTACTCTTGTGCACAGGGTCGCTGTGAGTCAGCCCCAGCTCAGTGACACCCAGCAGCCGCCGCCACCGCCACATGTGATAGGAGGAGCCTTCAAACAGCTCAATTTTCCCATGAACCTTTTGAAGCCTCCTTTTATGATTGCATTTAAATTAACTGACGTACAATAGATGTAACTAATTTTTCCACCCAGTAATATTTTTTTGGTCGTCTGCTTTGTCAGCCTCTCTCCTAGGGGTTGGGAACACAGGAGGGAACCGTCTAGAAGGAGCTGACGTGCTAAGGGGAAGACAGACAGTAAACAGAACAAATAAGCAAAATATGTAGTATCGTAAACACTGGGCGTGCTATGGAGACAAAGAAAAGGGAATGAATGCCTAAGGGTGGAGTAGGGGTTCCCATTTAAAGCATGATGGTCACTTGAGGTGTCTGCTCCAGTGTCAACGCTAAGATGATAATTGGGTGAGGGAAGGACTATTGGCCATATCCCAGAGAGAGCATTCTGGATCGGGAAGGACAAGACCAAAGACATGGGTATGTTTCAGAAGAGAACCAGGACATGTTTCTAGAGTGAAGTGAGTAAGAATTGAGAATGTCCCTGGAGAATTTATGTGGGGCCAGGACAGGTAGGGTCTTAATACTATGTCATTGGAGGCACATTCAGCGAGAGGAGCGTTGTCGGCCAAGGAGTAGCTTGGTGTGTCTTGTATTTTTGTCCGCTCACCCTGCTGTTCTCTTGGGAACAAACTGGCGGGTGGAGGAGGAGGAGGAGGAGGAGAGCAAGGGAGCGAGCAGAGAGGCCAGGTGAGGGATGACGGACCAGGGAGTTCCAGTGCTGGTGAGGGAAGTGGTCCTTTCCCGTCCGTGTTCTGAAGGTTGAATTCGGCGTTCTCACAGATGCCTAAGGCCCCCTCCCCACATCCCACCACTATCAGATCCTTAGTATTTGGGTCATTCTTCAGCTCACTAAATGGCCTGCCGGAACTTTTTCTGACTGAGTGCGAACACAGCTTCACCCGGCGGCTTCGGGACGAATTGAAGGCTACGGATCCATACTCTTACAGGAAAGTCATCGACAATCTCGCGGCCTGTCTGGAGAACTTTCACTTGGGTAAGCCAGCGTTCTTCTGGTACCTTTTCTGGCAAACAGCCTGTTGCCCTTTGTTTTTGAATGTTGCTAACGATGTTTTGGGGTTTGTTTGTTTGTTTTTATGTTGCTAATTTTGATGTGAACTTCTGACCAGTGTTCATTCCCCCCAACAGGAATTGCAAGTGTTAATAACCTGCTTGAAAATGGTAAGTTCTGTTGTTTTATATCCTTCTGAGTTGTGACTGACTGAATGAGTCGTTTCGGAACTGATTCTTACACCTTTCTTTGTGAGGCGTAGACTCATGCAGCTAACTGCAGTCTGTTCCTTTAAATCTCTGCATCTAGTCTGAGATAGGGAACTGATTGTTTTTTTTTAAAAACAGTCTTCTTAGCACACGAGTATAATTCATAGATCATCCAAGTTCTTTGTTCCGTCCACCGAGAAGAGTTATGCAGCCATCACCACAGTCCATCTCAGAACATTTGCTTCATTCTTGTGCTCATCGTTATTAGCTCCCGTCTGCCCCGGGTCCCTGCCCTGCCCCCCAGGAGCCATTCATCCAGTTATGGTCAAGGAAATGGATAGAAAGTACTCTCTTGTACCATTTTGGTTTGGTATTTTCTATGTGTGTACACGCACGTTTTACAGGTTTGTCTGTTTGTCTGTTTCAGTGCTGCATTTCCTGCAGAGGAGTTTAACTGAAATCCTGCAAGAAAATAGGCAAGTCTTTGCATGCTGATGCCTGGGTGCCGTGTCCACTGCTTTTCTAAAAAGAAACTTTATAGAAGGCTCCAGAATGTGTCACTTTCCGTCCTTCTTAATTAATATTGGCCCTAGTTACTTAAGGTTCATTTTTACGAAGTTTGACATTTAGTGTTTTTGTTTTGTTTTTTTAAGTAAGTGATTAGGAGACCGATACTACTAAGAAATAATGAGATTGGGGAGCTTCCCCTTTCTGGATGGCTCTTTTCCTGGCGTCCTATTCTGATTTCCGTGGGGAAGTCGACTCTCGTAGCCACCTGAAGACACTACAGATTGTCTCTTGAACTTTTCCCGCAGTCTTCACGAGAGATTGCTGAGAGAGCACATTGTAGAGGGACCGGTATGATGATTGGCCTTGAATAGAAGGCGTCAAAGATGACTCTTCCACTGAGAAGAGAAGGAGGCAGAGATGATGTGGCTAGCGGTACCTTGAGGAGCAATAAGCTAGGGGACCCCTTCATTTACTCAACAAATATTTGTTGAGTGCCCACTGTGTTCCAGGCACATTTTCAAATGTGCACCATCCCAAGTTCGCAGTTTGGCAGTTTGGCAGTGTACAAAATCAAGTCTTCTCCCTTCTTGGAGCCTTCCATTCTACCAGATGGTATCAGGCACTATATAGTACACACGAGAAAGTCACTCATGAGAGAACTGCAAAAAGTTTGTGGGAAAACAGAATTAAAAGATAATGAAAACGGTTTACAAACTTTTGAAGCCCTGTGAGAATGAAAGAGAAAAGCTGGGGGCCCAGAGAGCTGGTGAAGGTAGCCTTAAGGAGAAGACGTCTGAGCAAAGACTTGAAGGAGATGAAGGGATGAGCCATGCAGATGGGCCAAGATCCTGCCAGGGCAGTCTGCCTGGTGCGGGCCAGGGATGGCCAGGACACAGTGGCTCGAGAGGCGTGAGTGAGGAGAGAGGGGTGGCCGACGCAGCCGCCAGATGGTGGGCCCTGGACTTTGGTTTTTACTCTGAATAAATGAGGAGCTATTTGGGGTTCTGCATAGGTAAGTGATGTGATCTCACATGGGAATAGACCAAGAGGGCTATCGATCAAAGCTGGGGGACTAGTGGAGAGGCTCTTGCAGATCAAAAGGCTCGGGCCAGGATGGCAGCTGGGGAGGTAGTCAGAGTCTGGGTATAGTTTGTAGAGCCAACGGGATTTCCTTTTTCCTTTGGGGATCGGGTGTGACATCAACGTAGGAGACAAGAATGAGTGCACGGTACTTGTGAAACAGAGCTCCCAGTATGTGGAGCACATTGAGGGTTGGAGATAAGTCCATGCATTTTGAGATGGTTTTTAGACATTCAGGTCTGAAGATACTGAGTAAGTAGTTAGATTTGAGTCTAAAATTATGTAAACTTGTCAGCATATAGATCATTATTTGAGGAGCCCTGGTGGTATAGTGGTTATGCATTAGACTGCTAGCCACCAGGTCAGCAGTTCAAAACTATTTGCTGCTCCACAGGAGAAAGAGGAGGCATTCTACTCCCATAATGAGTTATAGTCTTGGAAACCCACTGGGGCAGTTCTAACCTGTCCTGTAGAGTATCTACGAGTCAGAATCGACTTGAGGTCAGTGAGTATGTGTTTGAGGTCATTTCCTGCCTATGAACAAGGTAACGGTCAACCGTGAGGGGTGATGAGAGATGACTGGTGATGGAGAAAAGAAGAGGACCAACAACTGAGTCCTGAGGCGCTCGACCACTGAGACCAGAAAGTGGAGGGAGACCAACCAGGCTGCTTGAGAAGGAGTGACACTGAAACAGGAGAAAGTCTAGGCGCGCCTGCTGTCTTGGGAAGCAGGGGAAGAAAACCCATCAAGGTGGAGGCGTGATCCACTTGGTGTATTGTGCCATTGGTTCTTGGTTTCTTTTCTTCACTCTGTAAAGTGGAAGTAAGGTTAGCCACTGGCTGAGAAAGAGAGGGATTTTGAGATAAGTTGAGAATGTGGAAAGTTGGCAATGCCTCTCTGTATATTGGAATGCTGTGGGGATGGCAGAATTGCTCTTGTAATGTATAACTGATTCTGGTACTTGGAGGAATATACTTGCTTTGGAGAGGGGTAGAAATGGAGACACTTTTATATGAATTTCACTTTTAAATATTTCTTTTTCTTTGTAGAAAATTTGCTGGAAATCATATTGTTCAAACACAGTTGATGAATGACTTGTTGGTGGGAATTAGAGTTTCAGTTCCGTTAGTACAGAAAGTACCAGGTTTCCAGGGAAATCTCTGGAAGGCTTCCAGTTCTCCAATATGGCAAAGTATGTGTGGCTTGCTGAGCATGTTCACTGAGTTCTTATGCGATGGTAAGTATAGCCACCGGCAGATGGCGATTAGAATCATTTCCTAGTGGTTCTATGGAATGCAGGATATAGTTTCCTGAGATGGGGAGCTTTTCCTCCTGCCCTGCCACTCCCAGAGAAGGAAAGATTTATGTTTTATTTACTTATTTTTTAAGTGTACGAATTCTGTGAGAGATA